AAAACTTTACCAAATCCTTAGTTTGAGTTCAGACACACCCGAGAGTATGCCTGAATCCCTCAAACCAAGGCTCTGATACCAACTTGTAACGTCCCACAAATAAGACCATAAAATTTTTCATTTTTAGATTAATAAAACATCAAACCATATTGTAGTCATAAAACCATGGTTATCAAATGTATCGATACATCATCAATATCAGAGTAAATCATAAAATGCGGAAACATGTGGTGTGTTCTCTGCAATCATCCCGAGCTCTCTCATCTGAAAACCGAAGTACTTGAAACATAAACTGAAAACCGTAAGCACAAAGCCTAGTGAGTTCCCCAAGATACCACATACCATATATATATATATATATATATATATATATATATATATACATATAACACATAACGGGCCCTTCCCAATGAGTATAACGGGCCCCGCCCTAACTCGCATAACGGGCCATGCCTAATGAGTATAACGGGCCCCGCCTAAAATCGCATAATGGGCCCCGCCCAATGAGTATAACGGTCCCCACCCTAACACACAAAACACATACAAATCATATACACATAGCAAGATAATTATATAACATACAAACACATGCGAAAATCACAAAGATAATAGCACCGTACAATCATCGGGCCCCGCCCACTAAGTATAACGGGCCACGCCCAAACTCGCATAACAGGCCCCGCCCAAACTCGCATAACGGGCCTCGCCCACATACAAATCATATACACATAGGCAGATACTAGCATACAGAATAACCATCGGGCCCTGCCCAGTAAGCATACAAGCATATACACATGCAAGAGTCACGCAAACATCTAGCACCCTACATAACAAACCATGGGCCAACATTGGTGCCTTCGACCCACTAAAAACAGTAAGGAAACTCACCTCGATATGTGCATAGGTAACCACAGTAGTAACGAATTACTCTACAGCTTTAACTCACTTCCAATCACCTACAGGAAGATACTCGAGTAGGGATGAGCATATGGACCAGGGAACCGGCCGGAACCGGTACCGGAACCGGAACCGGCACCGGAACCGGAACCCGATGGAACCGGTCGGGCCGGGACCGGGACGTTATTTTTGTGGATTTTTGGAACCGGGAACCGGTAGAAACCGGAACCGATATAACCGGAACCGGTAGAACCGGAAAAAACCGGAACCGTATGATGCTATTTTTCGAGGACCGGTTCCAACATTTGAAGACGCGACAAGAACCGGTAGGAACCGGGAACCGGTAGAACCGCCGGACCGGTTCGGTTCTTGATTTTGGCCGAAGCCGGTTCCCGGGTCGGGTCCGGTTCGGGCCGGTTCCGGCTGGTTCAGTCCTTTTGCTCATCCCTATACTCGAGTCAATACCCGATCACATGTCATAGTCACTTGCAATAGTGACTGCCTCACATGAAATGACGATTATGGTTAAGTAAGAACACTTAACCCATTAAGAACCTAATCACCTAAGGGTAGGATTGATTAAGGTTTGACTTAGTCATTCTCTGGTGAAATCATAATCCAATCAATGGCCCAATTACACGCCCGATCATTGTCCAAAATAGAGCTCCCCGATTCTAGGGTTTTTTACATAAAATGATAACTAGGGTTAGTGTTCCACACTTAAACCCTTAAGGACTTAATCCATTAAGTCTAATATTGCATTAAGTTATTTGTAGGGGCATTATTAATTATTATTTAAAGTTTAATTAACAGCTTTAACGCGGGTCCCTACGAACTCCTAAAACTAGGGTTTTCTTGACATTAGGGTTTTCTAAACCCTAATTAGGGTTTCCAACCCAAACACGTGCCACTCGGACTAAAGTTAGTGATTAGATAATGTAATGTTTAATAAGTCGGGAACCACCCACTGCCACCTCGGGCAGTGGTGGCCGGCGGCGGTCCATGGCGGCAAGAGGCAGCAGCCACCACTTTTTAATGGTGGTAGTTATAATTTTAAACAAAAACAATATCAAAAGCATTCTGTTACAGACAAAACATCCATCCAGCACACACACCCACACAGTCACCCAAGGGGTTGCTAGTGGCGGCAGAACGGCAACAACGACCATGGTTGGTTGCCATGGTGGTTCACTTGCTTTCCGGCCAACAAGTACAATCACACATGCCTCCGACTTGCAGCAGTGACACACAAAACATACATGAAACACGGGCACCCACTGAAACACACATACAAATCAACCATCCTCGTGGAGGCAGGCGGTGGTCGGAGAGCAATAGTAAGACGGGATAGACGCTGGAGCGGCGGCGGCGACGCAGCAACATAAAGAAACGTAGAAGGGAGAGGATTGTGCGATCCCAACCGAGAACAACAGCAGAAACGACGTCAGCTCGCGGTCCTCATCATCATCGGCAACTAGAGTAACGAAGGTGTTGGTTGACGACTCAAATCGGCGGCAAAGGATTTGGCTGCGTCGGCTGATAATGGTGGTCGACGAAACAACAACACGCGAAGGTTTCCCTCCACTCCTCATCGGTCTCGAACTATTCTGGCGTGGGGGAAAGAAGGTCAACGGTGGTGGTCGCTTGGTGGTCTTGGCTGATCGGAAAAGTAAGAAAAGAGGGGTGGTGGCGGCTGGAGGGTAAGATACGGCGGCTGCATTCCAAAGATTTAAGGTTAGGGTTGCATGCCCTTAAAAACGGGGAGGGAAGGAACCGGGTTCAAGTCCCCGTGTTTAAAATAAACTTGGATACATTTTTATTAGTTTGGTCCCTGCCTCCACAAATTATTTCAGATAAGGTCCAATATTTACACTACAACCCCTGCTTTACGAAATTCTTTACATTTCAAGCCTAAACGTTACGATGTAACCATGGTTCTAAAAAACGTGCCATGGCGCGCCTCAAGGCGTGCCATAGCGTGAGGCGTGATGTAGCCGTTACGAAAACATCCAAGGCGGGTTTGTTAAGCGGGGCGCTCAAATAACGTGTCAAGGCGCGCCTTATCGCGATATGGCGCGAGTTTTTTTCAAGGCGCGAGTTTTTTTTGTTTTTTTTTTTTTTTTGATTTTTTTTATTGGGCCTAAAATAATTGAGTTTTTGTTAACTTTTATATTAAATACTAATATAACACTTCTAAAAACTTGATATACTTGATAAAAATCAATAATTATATGATTTATCTCTTTTAATATATAGAAAATAGTCACGCCTTGAAAAACGTCATGGCTCGCCAAGGCTTGTCATGACTTAACTTTTACCTTGCCGCCAAGCCACGTCTCACGTTATTTAGAACCTTGGATGTAACCCTCAATATCCAGAAAATATAACTTTTAACACCCCAAGGTGTACACCCTGCTAATTTAATACCACTTAGGGCTAAAATAAAATATAAAAAATATGTCTCGGGGTTTTTGGGTTTATTATTTATTTATATATTTATATACTTATTTTATTTTATACGGAATGTTACACTAGAATTGGGCTGAAATTTAAAGGGTTCTTTTCAATATTTTATCAGGTTGTAACCTTCTGTTTTGGCTACAATTTAGGCTCAAAAAACACTTAACTTGGTTAAGAAATAATTTAGTTACACAACCCGGTTGTTAGGTTGTTGGGGTTTTTTTTTTCACAAATATTTTTCATTTTATATATCATTGTAATGGTATATTAAATCACTAGATAATGCAAAATGTCACCTCAAAATGTGAAAACGGTAATGTACTATAGAAGTTCGGTTCTTTGCGGTTTTGAACTGCCTAAACCGTACCTGAACCGAACCAGTATTTTCAGTATTTTTAGTTCGGTTTTTGGTTCCCATATTTCCTCATTTCGAGTTTTCGGTTTCGAGACCGATCTCATCCCTATGTGATTATGAATATGAAAAATACATTTTTTTAAATTATAACTTTTTTTTATAGTTAACAAAGTTGTAGTTTTCTATAAAGAAAATGCCTATTGTGGTTTTTCTTTAGTAAGACCATGTCCAATCCAATATTTTTTATATAAAAAAATGGTGTAACTAATATTTCATATCCAACACAACATTATTTTTTAGACCAATTTCTACACCAAAGTATATTCCCTTTTTAACTTATATAGATTATTAAGAAAATACCACTCAAACTTATTAATTTTTACATATTTATTTACATATTTTTATATAAAAACATTATAATATATACTATTACAAGATTATAAGCAGATTATTTGTATATCGTTAATACGATTTAGGTGTTATTTTATCCAAAATTGTTAATTAAAATAATTTGTTTAACTAAATTTAAAACTTTAAGATAAATTTTAAAGAAATCTCCGATAAAGTTCTAATATTTTGGATCACTTTACGGTTTAATCATAATTTTTATTTTTTGAACGGAAAAATCAGTAATATTTTATATTTTTCTCAAATTAAAGAGACATCCCTTATTTTTTTTTCAACAAAAAATATCAGATTATCGTATAAAATTACATAACCGAAGTTTTTCTATTCAAAAAATAAATGTTAGTATTAAACAATAAAATGATTAAATATGACTTATGAAAGTTAATTTAACACCAAAATGATGTAGGGTTGGAAATGAATTTCCACCAAAATAATGTAAAATATGAGATTTGGTGTTGGGTTAGAAATGTCTTAGCACTTTTCTTTGTTATAAGAAAAAAAAAACCACCAACAAGGAGACACGGTAAGATCATTAAATCAAAAAATATCCCGCATCTTAAAAAGTCCAAACCCAAAAATCCCAAATGCACAATTTTTACTCTATCTAGATAATAGCATATACAAACATAAACCAACACATGAAAACTTCCATACTAAAAAGTCTTTTACTTTTTTAGTAACTTCTAATCTTAAATAAATGAATAATAAAAAATGAAAAACAATTTCACTAATATGTTTGACAAACTTAGCTGGTAGCTTCTGAATTTAATTCCTTACGTTCAAGCTCATTCATCGGAACAATGCTTTTTCTTTAATTCGATTCTTAAAATCTAAAAACCATCTATTACATTTATCACCATGGAATTGGAATTCATTTTTATCACCGATTACTCTCTTCAATTTCATCAAAACCTTGCGATTCCAATCCTTCGTTCCCATCCAAAATCTGTGGAACACAAATCCTACTTTCAAAACTCCTCTCAATCTCTCCCACCAATTCCAATTCCCCTTTCCCTTTCAAATACTCCACACAATTTTCAAACACATCTTGATCCAATCTACACCCCCTTTTATCCTCAGCCACCACACACATTCTCAACACCTCCACCGCCTTCTCCATCTCATCCTCCCTAACATACGCCACCACAAACAACCACCACGTGCTCATCGGAGCCACCTTCCCCATCTCCACAACCCGCTCAACATACTTTTCTTCTTTCCCCAAAATACCCTTCTTACAGTACCCACCAATAACCATATTCGGTATCCTAAAGTCAAAAGACAAGTTTTGAGCTTCCCATACGGTCAACATCTTCTCAGCTCCATCAATGTCATCCAATTTCACTAAAGCATAAATCATAGATGAATAGCCCCGATTGTATACTTTACTCCATGAGGATTTGTATAAATTCCATATTCTATACACATCATCATTTTTACCTAGAGATGCATACATTCGAATAAGAATTTCCCAAGCTGTCCCTTTGGAATTCCCACGGATATACCCTTCTGATTTCTGTAACATTTCATAGGATTTTTCCGGTTTACCGGATTTTGAATACCCACCTGAGGCGATGATGTAAGCGTTCCAGTCAACTGTAAGTGTAGAGCTTTCTTCCATTCTTTTAAGAACTTTTTCCATTGCTTCAATGTTGGGGAGAGAAGCGTATGCACTTAATCGAATGTAGAAAGTTGGTTTATCACATGAAATACCCGTTTCTAGCATTTCTTGATAGGTTTCATCTTGCTTTTTGATGTCGCTGTTTTTTTTTGTAGAGATTAAGCATTGAGTTGTAAGAAAGTGTTGTCATCATTCCCATTTGCTTCATCTTTTCTGAGAGGGATTATGCTTTTTCTAGCGATTTTGTACTGGAGTAACAGTTTAGAAAGGCGCCGTAGACTTGGAAATTCTTTACTTCTTCTGGAATGGTATTGAAATAGTATTTAGCTTGTTCTACGCCTTCGAATCTTGATAGTAAATCCAAGTGAACTGCAAAACCTGCTGGGTGAAGTTTCGTCCTTTTTTTGGACATCCATTCTGAAAGATGCCATTAGAAAGAGTTGATTGTAACAATGTTTGATCACACATATATGAGAGATGTAGATCTGAATCAATTTCTACAAATTAATACTCAACATTTGATTTTTGAAATGAAAATAAAATATCCTAATGCTTCGATCTATTAAACATGTTACCAAAAGTAATTAATAATCATAATAAAAGTAATATGACGTGAGTATAGATCATCTTTTATGACGGGTTAAATTTTTATTTGTCGGTGTATGTAAACAATAGTAATGAGAAAGAATTAAACATTTTAGTAAAGATAACTTATGCTGACAACTTAATTACATTTGTGTCAACAAAAGTCAACAATGGTTGCGGTACTATTTATAAACGATCACCATAAGTAAACATTTATCACTCTATATAAAAAAGGGATAATGACTTAAAAGGGTAATATATTTTTCGATTTGTACACATTTGGTCACTGAGTTTTTTTTCCGTCCACATTTACCCCTTCAACTTGTTAAACTGTATACATTCAGTCCTTATGACCGGATACTCCAGGTTACCCGGTAAAAATGACTTAATAGGGTAATATATTTCTCACTTTGTACACATTTAGTCCTTAATATTTTTGTACACATTTAGTCCTTTTTTTTTTTGCAAATTAAGTCATTTTTTTGTACTCATTCAGTACTTATGAATGATTTTTTAGTTTTTTCTCACGAAATCTTACATAGGACATTCATTAATGAGGTGTATGGGGCTTTTGATGCTTATATCTATCGCGATCTCGACTACTTGGTTGCTTAGGTCATGTGTTCTGAACGTCATAACTTCTTCATATGATCTCGGATTTTAACGATTTTTATATCCATGTGTTCGTATTTTAGTGTACTACCACTTTCATTTAGATTACTCCAATTAAAAAATAATATATTTTTACTTACCATTTTTATATCCATACCCGGTGGCGAATTTAGTATGGTCCCGGTGTTGCACCGACAACATCTGTTTTTTCTGTTCACAGTGGAAAAAATTTCGCTTTATTTTTTACGCTTATACCGATTTTCCATGTATCAGCAACACCTATTTCATCTCGGCAACACCTACTATGTATTACTGCGTCTTCCCCTGTCCATACGTTTTTTATGAATGCATGTATGTATGTTTTTTTTTATAAAATCGTTAGTAAAAATATATTACATTTTAACGGGGGTAATCTTAATGAAAGTTGTAGTAGACTCAAAAAATGAACAATGTGGATAAAGATCCTTAAAATCTTATATCGTATGAAGAAGTTACGATGTTCAAAATACAAGACCTAAGCCAAACCACAAGACTTACGCAACCAAGCAGTCGAGATCGCATTGGACATAAGCATCAACAACCCCAAGCACCTCATCAATGATTGTCTCAAGTAAGATGTCGTGAAAAAAACCTAAAGAAATCATTCATAAGTACTGAATGAGTACAAAAAAGGACTTATTTTGAAACAAAAAAAAAATTAAGGACTAAATATGTACAAAAATATTAAGGACTAAATGTGTACAAAATGAAAAATATATGACCCTATCAAGTCATTTTTCCCGGCTAACCTGGAGTAACAGGTCATAAGGACTGAATGTATACAGTTTAACAAGTTTAAGGGGTAAATGTGGACGAAAAAAAAACTCAGTGACCAAATGTGTACAAATCGAATAATATGTTACCCTTTTAAGTCATTATCCCTATAAAAACACATCACTATAAGTATTTTATGGTCACGTTGTTATTTCCCAATGAGTGAGTAAATGTACACAATGTTCACAGTATAATATTAAACATGTCAGCAAAAGTTATCAATAATCATAATAAAAGAAATGAGACGTGAGTATAGATCATTTTTTGTGACAGGTTAAATTTTTATTTGTCGCTGTATGTAAACAATAGTAATGATAAATGTAACATCCCAAAATTTCAAGGTAATTTTTTTTAAATCAACCATAAAGCACCATTTAGTATTACCAATCATTCAAATGTATATTAATGTAAAAACAGTCATCATAGTACAATCCTAAAATTATCACATTGCGAAACTTGGGTGGATGCGCTGCGATCACGTCGGACCCTTCTCTTTCGAACTGGAAGTACCTGAAACATAAACTGAAAACCGTAATCACAAAGCTTAGTGAGTTCCCCAAAATACCCATACGAAACACATATACATATAACAACATGTGGTTGTGTCGGTTCCGTATCAACCCCATATGACAGCATGTAGTTGTGTCGGGTTCGTATCAACCCATATGACAACAAGTAGCTATGTCGGGTCCGTATCAACCCTATATGACAACATGTAGCTGTTTAGGGTCCGTATCAATTCCATATGACAACAAGTAGTTGTGTCGGGTCTGTATCAACCCCATATGACATCATGTAGCTGTGTCGGGTCCGTATCAACCCCATATGATAGCATGTAACTGTGTCGGGTCCGTATCAACCCCCACATACATAAAACATACATACATGTCATCAAGAGTTACAAAGACAATCAAGTACATATAGACATATTATCAAGTGTCACAAAGCAACTATCATCCTACAAACATATTTCAGTGGGCTGGCATTGGTGCCTTCGACCCACGAGTACAATGAAGAGACTCACCTCAAGCTGCTGAATGTCTCAAACAAAAGCTCGGACTGTCGATCCGAAAAATCCCCGTGCTAACATCATCAAATAATACCCAATTAATAATTAGTCCATAACCCAAAGCTAGAACTCAAGTCCGATTGTTCAACACTCAGGGTAAAAGTCCATTTCACCCTTTCCTCACTTGGCCCAAAATTTGAGGCCCACCAATAGTATTAAAAGCCCATTATGGCCCAACTTCCTAATTGTCCAAAACCCATCTTGGGCCTAATCCAAGGAGGCCCAAATTCCAAAAAGATACCCAAAGCTCCAAATGGACCCAAGCACCAAAAAGGCCTACATATAGAAAACTAGGTCCCAAAAGCCCAAAAACCACATCTCACGTCGTGACTAGCCTTGGTCACGTCGTGAGAGCTCGCTCAATCAGATCCCAACTCATCACGACTCAACCTAGTCAACTTAGTCAAGGGAAAGTCAACGGGGCTGCCCTCACGTCGTGAGAAGCCTCCTCTCACGTCGTGAGCCCCAAGCAGATGACCAGAAATAGGACCAACGCTTGTCACATCGTGAGACATTGTGTCATCACGTCGTGAGAACAGTTTGATGCTAACAATCCAACTTTTAAGTCCTTAATCCATTAAGCCTTCAATCCTATTCCTTTCAAAAGCTAACAAGAACTCTAAAGGCCAATAAAAATGATTACTTGATGGACATATATGCCCCAAGCATGTCCTAAACTCATCTTAGGTCAAAATGACAAGAAATGGCCCCAAACTCAAACAAGATTCATAAATTACAACTACACTCCAGATCCATAAGACTAAATCATAGAGAATGACTCATTGATCCATAAAGTTGCCAACTTTATGGATCCCAAGCATGCAACCCAACATAAACATGCAAAAAGGAGCTTAGAACTTAGATCTAGCAATTTGAGCTCATAAAAATTCGATCCTGGACACTTACAATGGTCAAAAATTGTGCACAAGATGATGATGATGAAGCCTCCTTGTTGAACCCTTACTCTAGAACCTCTTCTTCTTCTTGCCACCAAAACACTAAAATGGATCCAAAATCATCAAGATGGATTAGGGTTAGGGTTTTGTGAGTTAAGGGAAGGTAGAGGCTGAGAAATGAAACCTAAAACCGAGATAAGGGGGCTTAAATACGTGGGAAACCCTAAAACCTCGTCGGCTTGGGCTGCAACACTCCTCACGTCGTGAGCTCAGTCCCGGATGGAATCTTCATGCGACCCTCCTCACGTCGTGAACCTCCATGCCTCACGTTGTGAGGACCCCTTTTTTCACCAAAATCCAATATTTTGACCCTCCGAAGCCCTAATTCGATTCATCCAAGGACACAAATGTTACAATAAACCATTAAACAAGTTAATAAAAATAACTTATGTTGACAGCTTAATTACATTTGTGTTTCCAAAAGTCTACAATAGCCATGATAATATTTATAAACGGTGAGTGTAAGCAAATATTTATCACTCTATATGAAAAACACATCAATATAGGTTTATTATTAATGATGATTATTAAAAAAAATAGATATATCTCCAAAAATACCATACTATATAATGACAGGTTTGACCTATAATAACGGGTTTTAATAGGTTATACCCACCACAATTGTACGACAACATAACTTATCTTCAATGACGTGACATTTCCTCACACAAGGAATGAAAAAAAAGTCATAAAATGCCTATAATGACGGGTTTTTTTATGTGGATAAAACTCAGTTTTGTACTAGTGAGGAAGAATTAACTATTTGAAATATGGTTGTTAAAAAATCCCGATCATGATCTTAAGATCTTACGGTTTTAAGATCCTACAAGTGAAAAACGATCATGATCTCAAACAGGGCCGACTCGTTGATTTTAAGGCCCTGTGCTAAGAAGAAAATTGGACCCTAAATACAAATTTTTTAATATATAAGGAAAACAAACTTAAGACGGCGAATTATCGTTACGGAAAACTTAAAAGTAAATAAATTAATTAAAAAGGAACATATGGAATTTTATAAAAAGTTCAAAGGCTAATTATGTAACTTTTGAAAACTGATTTGTTAAACATATTGGAGGGGTTGATTATGAAATATATAGCATAAAGAAATGACCAAATCTGTAACTTAATTTTAAAACATCAAAACGCGTGAAAAATAATCGAACCCACATTGCTTTTACCAAATCTGTAACTTAAATTTAAAACATCAAAATGTCGTGAAAAATAATCGAACCCACATTGCTTTTGAATAAAGGACGCGCCTTTGCCAATTTGGCTACCCAAACTTTATGCAATATCTTGAATAAATTCATATATATTTAGTTATTAAATATATAATTTAATTAAAACTCGGGTCCTATTTTTTTCGGGGCCCTGTGCAGCTGCCCCTCTTCCCCCCCCCCCCCCCCCCCCCCCCCCCCCTAAAACCGGGCCTGATCTCAAAAAATCGTTTCTTCAACTTGAAATCAAGCATCTAAGTTGCAAGAAGTTTTGTAGAGCATCATCATTTCATCAATTCATCTCGAATTAAACATGACACACTCATAATCTCTTTGTGATCTTATATCTTTTGTTGTACATGATCAAATGATCTTTTTTCTAATTAAGATGTTTTCTTTTTAATTTTTACGGTTTGTAGCAACAAAAATTATGATTCATGTATAAGAATTCCACTATCGTTGTCTTAATCAACATCAAGTTATAATGTATACTTACACCTAATATCTTACAATCAAATTTGAATACGAGTTCATTTTGGTAGGATCTTTCGATCTAAATCAGATCTTGACAACCTTGATTTGGAGTGAACAAATTTTTGTTATATTTAAATTTGTCCATACACATACCTATCCGAGTAGATCTCATATCCGAGTAGATCTCATTTCACAAGTAGAGTATATTTTGGTCTGATCTCAATTCCTTGCACAATAAGCCCGGTAAGCTGCTCGCGTTCGTTACAGGTCAAGGCGAATGTTACGTTCACAGAAGTTGCAGCATCTGCTTTAAATGTCCATATCTGAGCTTCCATCCACCCATCTTTCCGTTGTCTCAACATGCTCTCTATTTTGGGTCTAGACAATGGGTTCATGGTTGGTCTTTGATTACGATCTTGGTCACTATTTGTCAGCATAATTAACGGGGTTTTTGGGCTGCTCAAATAGATAAAACGAACTTCATTGAAATTCGGAGAGCCAAAGTTGATGTCCTTTACTTCTAGAGGACACTTAAGCGTCACGTGGCTGACTTCTGGCAGTTTACACACAAGGTAAGTTGCATAGGTTGTGTTTGGTGTAAGCATATGTGAGTTGATAGGGCAGTTTATACGCAAAACCCTGCCTGATTGACATTCAGCCACCTTCTCGAATCTGCAAATATTCAACTGGTCGATTAATGCTTTCACTTGCAAGTTTTAAAAAATGCACCAAAAGGTTGACCTAATGTTGATTCATAACCAAAATCCATCTGCGTTAAGAAGCTAGGGTAGCTACCTTGATTCATGTAGAGATATCCAACGAAAACACGCCAGATCTGAGAACCTGCTGAATTCCCCGTCGTTGTCTTCTAAAAATGCTCGTGCTGATGCCATACAGCATTTGATTCCATTTTTATCAAGAGAAAACAACTGTAGGAACGATTTCAACAAACGTTTAACAATCAAGAAGCATATATACAGTGTTCGCAACAAACCTTTCCATGTTACTTTTTAAAGAAAAAAAAATTACGTACCATTTGGCCTTTGTTCGTAAGAATCCCGTTTGAAAGAAGCGTGTAGATTTCCTTGTTAGTAATGTTGTATGGGACACGATCCTTTGCTGCTTTGATTATGTACTGGTAGTCGTTTGGTAGTTTTTGTTCCCAGTTTGCATCTATCATCGTATTTGAATTGTCTACTACTACTAATGGCTCTTCTTCTATAGCCTGTAAATGAAAATAAAATTATATCTCGTGTACGTATTAAGTATATATTATGACAGGATGATCGATGATGCTTAATTAATTAATTACCTGCATCTCGATAGGCAAGAACTGGATGCCTTCAAGTAACATGAAATTATAACAAGGAATTCCTTCAAGCAAAAGCTCAAGCTTTGCGACTTTCCTATAACTAACAAATTGGCACAGTTCAAGTATCATCCATCCATTATCCGTCCAGTCTGCAAGGTGAGAGAATGATGATTCATTTGCGTCTTTAAATTTGAATTGTAAACCCAAAAATATGGGTTCACGAGTCATCTTTGATTGGTCTACGTGTGAAGAACTACTAAATGTATCACAATATTTGAGCACCAGGTATGCCGCGTATGTAATTCCCGGTGATAAAAAACGTGTTTCTACATCAACCACTATTTGCAAATTATGTGGCCTTTCAATCTTAGCTACCTCAGAAAACCTGCACTTGCAGTGGGACAGAGGAGTTATGCATCATATATATGTTGATCTATGCATGTGTGTGTATACGAGATGATGAGAGAACCTCGATGTAGAGTGAGGAATCCATTGCACAATTCCAGGATCTTGGAACGTGAATTCTGATGCAGAAATCATCTCACAATTCTGTTCTTTCTTGCTCAAGGAAAACCACTAGACATTAAAATATGTAAAATTAGTATCAACCATGAATTTAAGTATATATTTAACCTTTGTTTAATGAAGTATCTGATCTAGTTCATCAAAAAGTTAAAAGGAGCAGTAAGTTACCCTTCTACCCCAATCAAAACGAATTCCTGAAGATAGAAGCAATTTGAGTTCCCTTTTATTTGTGTAGACTAAGGGTTGTTCTCTATCAGCCATCTGGATTATTTCCTCATACTCCATGGGTTTTCCACTTTGAAAGCTTTCCTGAAAACCAAATGACAGTTTTAGTTAGCATCTGCCGATCGAATTTATGAATCATGATTAGGAAAACAGATAAAGGAGAAGTACTACTTGCCTGATATTCAAGTGAAAGCTCAAGTTCTTCAAGCACTTGAGCCATGGTCGGGCGTTCTTCACGCTCTCTTTTCAAACAACGATATGCAATTGAAGAATAAGTTCTTAGAGAATTGGACTCCATTTGTCCACGTAGACCATGGAAGATAATGTCATCTAATTTTCCTTGTTCATAGCTGATTTGTGCGAGTTTTGTCAACAAACGATGTTTATCATCGGGTTTCCCAATGCAAAGCCTCCCACAAAGAACTTCAAACAATACTACCCCAAACGAGTACACATCCGACTCCTTTGTAAGAAAATTTGTCTCTGCATACAGCGGATCACAATACCCAAATGTTCCGACTGCATTGGAGACAAGAAACGTAAACTCTTGATTTGCGGGGCCTATTTTGGACAACCCAAAGTCAGCTATTTTAGCTTCCCAAAACTGATCTAAAAGAACATTCGCACTCTTCACATCTCGATGCAAGACTCTTTGCTGTGTTCCAAGAGGGTTGTGAAGGTACTCCAGTCCACGAGCTGCCCCAATGCATATCTTCAGGCGTTGACCCCATGTTAGACTGTTGCTACCAAGGTACTTTTCAAGACTACCATTAAACTCATAATCATAAACAAGAATCTTCTCGTCCCCTTCGTCACAAAAGCCTAAGAGAGAGACTAGGTTTTTGTGTCGATAACGAGAGAGCATCATTATCTCCATCAGAAACTCACGTTCGCCTTGACCATGGCGTCTGTCTAATCTCTTTATTGCAACGGCTTTTGTTAGGCCCTCGGTTGTAGTTATCTCTGCTTTGTAGACCTTGCCAAACCCACCGACCCCCACAAAGTTCTCAGGTCCAAAGTTATTGGTGGCTAACTTAATGACATCTAATGAGATTTTGAGGTGCTCCAACTGTTTCAGCAACGCCATATAATTATGATAATCGATTTCAAAAACTCAAGTATGAAATAAAGATAGTATCTCCCAGAGGTATATATCTATGTTTAGTGTTAACTTCTCATGTTTGGAAAAGTCACTGCCTTTGGGGAAGAGATAGTCGTTTACTTTTTGTTGTGCTTACACAGACAATCATTCAATTTTAATTTTAATTGCAATTTGCACATAGCAAACCGTTTACTTTGAATATTATTTGCGGAAAAAAAAAAAAGGAAACCATTTACTTTGACTTTCTGTTAAAAACAATAAACTCTAAAACATAAGATTCTGTGTCTAGCATACACGAGATACACAGAAATTCAAGAGTGAGTGGAGTACAATGAATATCTTATTTATTTATTTATTTTTGAAACGGGCAGAATATTGAAAATAAAAGCCACACAATTAGCAAGTAACTAGATTCTGAGCGAATACAAGGTGTTCAATAATTACAAATTAACAGAAACTAAAAGGAGAAATATTAAATTCAAACCATCTACCACATTGCGTAGATCCACGATACTTATACCATGACTACGAGTGAGAGATGATATCATCCACGATCTTTGACAAAGTCATTTCCAATCTTTTGAACACCTTTTGATTTCTTTCCATCCAAATGTTCCACACCGTACAGTAAAAGATTAATGTAATAATCCTTCGTTTCTTGGACAGTTGCCCCATGAAGCAGCAAATTCGATATATTCTTTCATGTTGGAGAACTGTTTAATTGGAATATCACACCAATTACGGATCCGATTCCTGGTTTCCATTGCAACTTTGCATTGTATCAGAGCATGATCCACCGATTCTGGTTTAGACTCGCATAGAGGGCATAAATTGGATTGGACACTTATGCCCCAACTCACCAAATTTAGTGAAACACACAATCTTCCTAATGTAGCCAACCATATGAAGCATCTAACTTTAAGAGGAATCACTTTCGCCCACTCAATAATGACTCCTATATGAGAGGCTGATGCGGAGTCTAGATGTCTTCTCAATGTATTAACACTATATATGCCATTTGGATTGATGTTGAATCGAAATCCCAAGGTCACAGGTGATAGCTTAATGTTGTTAATCAACGAGCATAACTCCAAGAATTCCTGTAAAACATTGGATCCATGAAGTATAGTCTTCCATCTCCATGTAAAGCTTGAGTTGGAAATCCGTTCAGTAACATAACATTTTTTTTACCGATTCCAACTCATATAATAATGAGAATTTGTCTTTGAATCGCACTGTACCACACCAACAATCCAACCAAAACAGGATTTTTGTATTTGAGCCTGGAGTTAGTGAAAACATGTTTGGATTACTCACATGTACCTCCTTGATAGCATTTGAGATGCTGCACCAAATACCTCCAATCGTCTTTTTTTTTTTTTTGGCAACATGTAACCGGTTTCCTCTTGTTATTGTGAATACTAATGATGCAATTTCTCCATAAGCAATTATGATCTGTTTTTAATCTCCATAGCCATTTCGTGAGTAGTGATAAATTCTGTGCTTTTAATGAGCCAACTCCAAGCCCCCTTCCTTTTTTGCAACAATTACCTTCGACCACGATACCCGGTGAATCTTTGCTTTTGTGTCATTACCACCCCACATGAAACATCTTCTAATCTTTTCAAGAACATCTATCACACCAATAGGTTCCTTGAATAATGAGAGGTAGAATGTAGGTAGACTATTGAGAACAGATTTAATGAGTGTGGGTCGTCCTCTAAAAGAGAGAGTTTTAGCTTTCCAAATCGACAATCTTGCATGGAATTTTTCAATTATTGGTCGCCAGTGTTTTTTTAGAGACATGTTAGCCCCAGCCGGAACACCCAAGTAAGTAAACAGAAAGGATCCCCTGATGCAACCTAGGACTTGTGCTTGATCATTTAATTCAGAGTCTGTCACACCAATACCATATAGACTCGATTTGTGGAAGTTTACTGTGGAAAATGTTGCCTCCAAAATTAGCAAGTGGCAAATAGTTCAGGGGTTATTTCCGTAACTTATCATTTACTATTCATAGTTTGACTATGAATAGTAATATATATGTGAAATGTTTGAAGAATTGGACGGCACATGTGAATTTGGAGATTTGTTATTCAAAAGTTTGTAGGCGGAGTGTTTGGTCATGAATAGTATTCAAATTTGAAGGCGCAACATTTTTGGACGACGGCATTTTTTATCCTTTCATATGTTCTTTTCTTTGGCTATAAATAGCCTAAGCCATTTCATTACGAATGAACCCAACAATCAAAATATATATATATATATATATATATATATATATATATATATATAGTACATTACATATATATATATATATATATATATATATATATATATATATATATATATATATATATATATACTGATACACCACCATATATTTTAGCCCTCTCACTCTATTTGTAATCTCTTTCATAATCCCTGTAAACACTGCAAATTATAGTGAATTGTTTCTCGGCTTCCTCCGCCCGTGGTTTTTTCCCGATTTGGGTTTCCACGTAAATTCCTGTGTCTCTATTCTATTTATTTTATTCGTATTTCGTTGTGATTATTACGCTTTGATAATTTTTGATCCCATTCCGCATTGAGCTAATATTATTTAAGGCTATTCGGATCCTTCGTATTTCACAACAATTGGTATCAGAGCATCCGGGTTGTAATATTAGCTCATTGGGATCATTTTATCAAGTAATTAATCATGTCTTCGGTAAAATACGATATTCCACTACTGGATCGTAACACACGATTTCCGTTGTGGCAAGTAAAGATGAGAGACATTCTCATTCAGATGGATTTACACAAGGCGCTTTTGGGTTTAAATAAGATGCCCGATACATGGACCGAAGAAGAAAAGGAGATGAAAGATCTGAAGGCTTTATCCCAGATTCGTTTGCACTTGTCAAACGATGTTTTGCAAGATGTTCTAAAAGAAACGTCAGCGGCTTCTTTATGGCTAAAGTTGGAGCAACTGTTGATGACCAAGAGCTTACCAAACAAGTTGCATTTGAAGCAACGGTTGTTTAATCTCAAGATGATTGAAGGAGGCTCTTTAACTGAACATATATCCACATTTAAAGAGTTAGTAAATAACTTAGAGAATATGGATGTTCAGTATGAAGATGAAGACTTGGCTTTATTCTTACTGTCGTCGTTGCCAGAATCCTATAGCCATTTTCGTGATACTATTATCTATAGCCGTGACACTTTAGTTTTAGATGAAGTCTATACAGCTTTGGATTCCAAAGAGAAGATGAAGCATATTACTGGTGGTGGTTCAAGTGATGCTAAAGCCGAAGGTTTGAATGCCAGAGGAAGAACAACAGAGAGAAGTAGAACTTCTCAATCTTCCAACAGAACCAGATCCAAATCAAAAGGCAAACGAAAGTTTTGCAACTATTGTCACAAGAAGGGACATGTGCTTGAAGAATGCTTCAAGTTGAAGAATAAAGAAAAAGAGAAGACGGCAGCAAATGGTAAACAAGCTAGCACTTCGGGTGAAGCCGATGTAGCTGAGGTGGAAGGTATTGGAGAACTTTTGACAGTTTATTCAGATAAACTGGATTCCACTGGTGATTGGATACTCGACTCTGGTTGTACTTTTCATATGTGTCACAACAAAAGTTGGTTTTACACATTTGAAAAGGTTAACCAGGGCTATGTGTTGATGGGTAACAATACTACATGTCCAGTTCTTGGACATGGTTCAGTCAGGATCCGTATGTTTGACGGAGTTATTCGAACCATGGGGGATGTTAGATATGTTCCTGACCTCAGAAGAAACTTGTTATCTCTCAGTTCTTTTGACAAAAGGGGATACGAGTTTGCTGGTAAAGGTGGAGTTCTCAGGGTATTCAAAGACGGCTCCGACAAACTGAGAGCCAAACGAAAAACCTCAGATCTTTACTTTCTTGACGGGCAAACAATTTCGAGTGATGCTGCTGTTGTGTCAAAGTCTTTTTCTGATCCAGATCAGTCCCGTCTTTGGCACCTTCGACTCGGCCATATGAGTTTTCAAGGCATGTCAGAATTGAGTCGAAGAGGTTTACTTGGTCTACAAAAGATTGTTGATTTGGATTTCTGTGAAGACTGTGTATATGGCAAGGCAAAACGAGTGAGGTTTGCAAGTGGCATCCATACAACGAAAGGACCACTTGATTATGTTCACTCGGATTTGTGGGGACCGGCTCGAGTTGCTTCAAAAGGTGGAGCTATTTATATGCTCACTATTATTGATGATTTCTCCAGGAAGGTGTGGTCTTTCTTCTTAAAACATAAAGGAGACGTTTTCTATACCTTCAGAAATTGGAAAGTTCAGGTTGAAAAGCAATCAGGTCTGGCGGTAAAGTATCTTCGTACGGATAATGGACTTGAGTTTTGCTCAGAAGAGTTTAATGTCTATTGTCAAAAGGAAGGCATTACTCGACATCGCACAGTAGTCCATTCACCTCAACAAAATGGTGTAGCTGAAAGAATGAATCGCACCATTATGGAGAACGTCCGGTGTATGCTTTCTAATTCCAAATTGCCAAAGTCTTTTTGGGCGGAGGCTGCTTCGACTGCTTGCTATGTTATCAACCGATCACCGTCACGAGCAATCGAGAAGAAAACTCCGTTTGAGTTATGGTCCGGTAAACCTGCAAATTATTCAGATTTAAAACCATTCGGATGTCCAGCGTATGCACGAGTTGACAATGGGAAGCTAGAACCAAGAGCAATCAAATGCGTTTTTCTTGGGTACAATCAAGGTGTAAAGGGTTACAAGTTATGGAGCTTTGATTTGAAGAAAATTATCATCTCAAGAGATGTTACTTTTGATGAGTCTGCTATGATTCAACCAGTTGCTGACTCTTCTAAAAGAACAGATGCATCAGATGTATCATCCGAAGCAAATAAAGAGTATGCTCAAATGGAGGTGGAGCTTCCTACTTCACCTACCACTAATCAGAGTACAAATCAGCATCAAGATTCTTCTTCGTCGGATGAGCATGTTGTTGGTGAAGATTCAACACCTTCACAACCACAAGCTACTACTCCAAGCATTGCAAGAGATAGACCGAGAAGA